GTAGGCTCATATGGAAGGAGGCGGTCCTTCAGGTATCCAGGGCCAAAACCGTTTAGGGCTTTATTAGTCAAAACAAGCACTCTGAATTGGGCCCAGGCAGCAACTGGTAACCAATGTAACCTAAACAGAATCGGCTTGATGTGTTCTCTAGCTACCCCACCACTCACCAGCCACGCAGCTTGATTCGGGACCAGTTGCAGTCGCCGGACCATCTTCAAAGGCAGCCCCACGTAGAGCACATTGCAATAATCTATACGAGTTGTTACCAGTGCGTGTGTAACTGTCATGAGACTCCGCTCGTCCAGGTAGGGTCGTAGCTGGTACAATTTCTGCAGCTGAAGGAAGGCACCCCTGGCCACCGAGCCCACCTGGGCTTCCAGAGTTAGACTGGGGTCCAGGAGCACCCCTAGGCTGCAGACCCTGTCCCTTAGGGGGAGTGTAACCCCATTCAGAGCAGGGAAATGGCCCTCCAACCTGTCTGGCAAAGCACGCCCTAACAGCACTTCCGTCTTGTCTGGATTGAGTTTCAATTTATTAACCCTCATCCAGTCATTAAAAAGTATTACACAAGCTTTATATTAAAAATGATAAACAGTATCAATATCAAAACACATTTAAAAGCAACAGAGCACAACAATCCAATTTGAAAAACTCATTTCAGACAGCAAGTCACAAAGGAAAAGCCTGCCTTAGATTTTGAAAACTCCAAAATAATATTTTTGTCAAAATGATGGTCCTCAGAAGTCTGGGGGGAAATGGTTATCCTTCTGCTTAGCCATACCCATGTGGTTTTCTCCAAATGCTTTTTCCAACAGACTTACAGTGCGATGGCAACTGAACAGAGGGATTTTTTCTGCAGTGATTTCCAACTGCAGATTATCCTTTATAGAGAGGTTCATCAGGAGCCCTCGGTATTTTTTGCAAAACTAAGAAAGACTTCCTTTATTCCCAGACCGAAAAAAAAGGTTTTCTAAACCTGAAATGACTTTATGGCTGTTCTGTTCTCTGTCAAACCAGTTTGATAGAGTTTTAAGAATTCATCAAAACAAACTTTTATAGGTTTTTTCCCAGGTCAAAAAACTACTAGAAACAAATATAATTACATGTGACATAATCCAACAATTTAAAATGAAATTTTCCAATATTTCCCTCACTTTAGTAGATACAAACTACTTAGTGCCTTATCTCTCCATGTACCTTTGCTTGCACTTTCCACATGTTCAAGTTCATCTGGGAATTTTAAGATGTCCCGATAACGCTCTTCACAAATTTCAGCCAGAAAATGCAACAATGTTGTCTTTTGATCTGACGATTTTGTATCTCTAATCTGTAAATAGGGAAAAGATAGCAGGGGCGAAAGAAACACATTATTTCTCAACAATGTTTTATTCCTCTTCTTTCCTTTCAATGAGTAAGTTTTCAAAATTTCTAATATAAAATTTCAAGATGACACAAAATAACAGTGGCCATAATCCTTTTACATACTTACAGCACTACAACCCTATTAACACAGTTTACAGTGATGAACTGTTTCAAGTTTCCTATCACACACTGAAGCATGCAACAAGCATGTAACAGCAAACACACTGCTGAAAGATACGCTGATAGTTACTCCAGTGAGTCCAACTAACAAAATTCTTCCGTCTACAGGATATTAAATTGTGTCTCTAGTCTGAGATGAAGTACAACTTTTATTCCGTATATCTCTGTCTCAAGACAGCCTTTCATATAGTGCAGTAATTATAGTGCTAGACTAGGACTATTCTCACCAGCCCATGAAGTTTGTTCGCTAACCTTTATCTCTTAGCCTGACCTACTTTGCAGGGTTGCTGCAAAGATGAAGGTCAGGAGGAAAAGATCCATGTACACCATCTTGAAGTCATCAGAGAAAAAACAGTATATATAAAAAAGCAACTGAACAGATGTCTGAGAATGGTTTTTATGTGTAAAGGTTACCCTTGACGTTTAATCCAGTCTTGTCTGACTCTAGGGCATGGTGCTCATCCGTGTTTCCAAGCCATAGAGCCAGCATTTGTCCAAAGACAGTTTCCGTGGTCATGTGGCCAGTACGACTAGGCATGGAACGCCGTTACCTTCCCACCAAGGTAGTAGCTATTTATCTACTTGCATTTACATGCTTTTGAACTGCTAGGTTGGCAGGAGCTGGGACAAGCGATGGGAGCTCCCTCCGTCGTGTGGATTCGATCTTACAACTGCTGGACTTCTGACCCTGCAGCACAGAGGCTTCTGCGGTTTAACCCACAGCACCACCACATCCCTCATTTATGTGTAAACATTGACTTAAATCATTTGCTTCATGGCCTTTCGGCTAAGATCAAGTGATTTAAATCTTATTGCTTAACCTAGTAAGTCACAACTAGAGTAGGCCCTATAAATCAGAAATTACAGAGGAGTTGACTCACCAAAGCCCTTATGATTCAAAAAGTCTACTCTAGTTTGATTTACTAGATTAATCAGCAGGATTTCAGTCACTCTTTAACCTTGAGCAGTACAAATGTTGTAACCTGCCCTCAACTGATATGTGCATCTGCTGTTATCACTATGTGCTGCAGCAAGCAACTACAAAAGTATTGATCATGAAAATGTTACACTGATAGTGCTGGAATATTCAGCTTTCAAAGGTACGAATAAGATACAGCAAGTTTGTGGCCTGACTGCTAATGTGTGTGGTTCTTTTTTGGAGGGAGTTCATTTTTGCTTTCATTCAAATATTGCTTCTTTCAGTATCATATTTATATAAATACCAACTGTTCAGTAAATCAAAAATCACGAATGCTTCAGTGCATATATCAAAACTACTGCTACTGCTTGCCAGACTTGATACAGTGCATGAATTCTAATGTAGGTCTCCTTTACTTAAACAAAATTAAGTTCTGTGCTCTCTGCCAAGGGTTGTTTACAAATCGCTGCTTTCTTCAATAATACCACATGGTGCAATATACCATACTGCGGGATAATGCATTTTTAAGGATTTGCAATCAACATAAAGACATTAGTTTTGCAGTTAGAACCAGGCAGGTTTAATACATGTTTCCTGAATGCATCTCTACATCTGCAGCTAAACAAAGCTTTTCCCTCATGCTCCATGATTAAATATGTCTAAGAACAGATTTGCAGCATTGTGGTGTCTGACTTCAACACAACCCATCTGACAAGTTATTTATATACAGTGCACAACCAGTTTGAATTGAAGATTTCCATCCCAAGTCCTTAAAGAGTGTTGGTTGGGTAATATGGAATTCAAGCGGTGAGGGGAAATAAATTTAAATATAGTGCAGTTTATCATAATAAACAGACTATATCTCTTCCCAGAAAATAAGCTTAAATACCATGCATCCAAAGGCTGAACTTTTAACCATACCTAGAGTAACTCAGAAACATGAGACATGTGAGTTTCAAAATTAACACTGGAAATTAGCTTTCATTAGAATTCATGCACTGTATCACTGCAGATCACTAGTACAGTGAATTATGGTAATATAAAACAACTTTCTTTCTCCAATGGAAAAGGACTCCATTCATTTTAGTACTTCACATTTTCCACTGAATGTTTACAGAGATACTTATGACCCATAGTTGTGATTAGCACCATGTCAATATCATCTGTTTGTGTTTTTTAAATATCCATAATTATGAACTGAACCTTTTTAATTGCCCTTATAACAAAACAGATTCTATGAGTAACTGTGTAAGCATACAATGTAAGCAAGGACTAGCCTTGAGATAACGTAGTTTCCATTTTAACAAAATATTACATCCTCATGTCATTTCTTCAAATGATTGCTACATCTCACATCCCATCATAAGAAACATACGCAGACCACACTTTATTCACATATCGTAATTTGATACAGGAATAGTTCAAAAACGCACTGACTCCACAAACTGCATAGGTGGGCAAGGGCCCAGGGGCCAAATTTCTGCCCCTGGTTACTACAGAGCAGCTATCCCAATGGGAGGGGGGCATATAGCTGATTTTCAGAAATTAAAGACTCCCTGCCCAAATCCCACAGTTCTGGACAGCTTCCCACAAACAAAGGGATCCAAAAGGAGTGTTGGGACCTGGGGACAGGAACTGAAATTGAAACTAGTGCAATTGATCAGCCTTAGACAGCTAAATTATGCAGCTGGATTTCAACCTATGTGTCTACTGTATGCAAGAATGTTCAGATGATAAGGAGAAGAACTAGTTCCTAACTGCAGGAAACTGCTGTAAATTCCTTCTGTGAAATTAATATTTATAAAGAATTTGCACAAAAGCTCAGTAGAGAGAAACAGATTTTGAGTGTTGGCCAACTTTAAAATGCAAAGGAAATGTGTGTCTGTTTGATGAGAGGTTTCTTTCCAAAATTTTCAGTGTTTCCTGAAATAATACAGGGAAGTTTGCCGAAGTCTCAAATATGAATTTACTCCTGCTTGTGATATCAAGCATACCTCACAATAAATATTTTCTTCCTACCAGCCACTTGAGACCCAATCTAGTTGCTCTTAACATGATGAGCAAAAGAAAGCTCTAGAATCAGTGTATGAGACCTTAAGCCAGCATCTATACATATTAGGTGAAATTTTGTCAAGTTTATGGAATCACATACCTTTGCTCTGAGGCAAAGAAGGCCAGATTTAGAATAGGAGAACTGAAGCCCAGCCCTTTTGGGGGGGGGGGTTCTGTCCTGGGGATGGTGAACACCTCCTGATATTTAGGGTGTCACCTCTAAGGAGCTGCATCCTATATTGCCAATGACAAAGAACTAGTCAAAAACATGTGGAATTTAAAAAGTTCACCACCTCTGTCCTAGTTCTAGATCCATAATGTTAGTCTCAATTAGAGAAGATTTACTGAATCAACCATTGAATCAACACCTGTCCCACTGTTTTAAAGTTCTGTTCTTATTGGGACTAGCAAATAGGTTTAGACCTGTAAGTGCAAGTGGCTCATTTTTAAGTATTAGTATATTGGAGGAACATAATATTATAATACTATAGTAATATGTATAATACTATGACAATATTCATTACATTGCAATGTTCTATCAGGCAGGGCTGCACAATTCTAGTTAAATTTACAATTCAAGCTAAAGATATATCACCAGCCACATACAGCAGACTGCAAAAAGTCTCAACAAACATAGTTATCCTAGATGGAATTTACGTAAGCTGAATAGTTTTAAAAAGAAAACTGTATTTTAAATCAATCAAGGTAACCTGTGCTCCATGGGTATATGCAGCCCCCCAATATGCCTGAAGCTTCCAACCTCATTTTTATGGTAACTCATAAAGTACTTTTGTGCCCTCTAGGGGGTGTGGGCAGTAATTTTGCCATGTTCTGAGGGTCTCTCAATACTGCTGCGCCCCCACAGCCCATTAATTAAAATGTTTTGGCACAAGGGGCTTTTTTATTTTTTTAAAAAAACACTTTTATCAGTTAACCAAACCCCATTGCAAGAACTGCTACAATAAATGATCACTGGTTTAATGAAGAAGAAGAAGAAGAAGAAGAAGAAGAAGAAGAAGAGGCTTCTACCCTTTTATCCTGTTGTCAAACGGTTCTTGGCCATACTGAGATTGCCAGTCTTGGTCTACAAGGTAGTAACTGTATTCAAATGCAGGGATGGAGATTCTCCTTTTTAATTTAAGAGATCTATTTCTTCCCACTCTGGCAGAGTCAACAGCTCTGCTGAGAAAGATTATGTTGGCTCCCTTTCTCATCATCCACCAGTAACCATTTCATCTGGAAGCATTCTTCAGCAAATAGTTTGTATTAACTTTATCTTTAAGAATATACAGTATATGTCAATATGCTTCCCTCTGTATCCTTCTATCCATTTTGTGTTGTATCCCCTAGGCTGCTAAGCCAGAGGTGAGTTGTTTGTCATTCACCATATATGAGCTGCTCTTGGAAATTTGAAGAACAGGATAGAAATGTGTTTTAAAAATAGCAATAAGTAACACTAAGACAAAAGAAGTTAGTGAGGAGAAAAGGTGAATGTTAAAGAGAAAGATTTTACTAATGTCACCAATGTTATCTCAAGAACAGGTTTACTTGTTTAATATATTTCTTTTTAAAACCAATATTTAAACATTTCAACAAATGATGCTCAAAGCCTTTTCTCCCTTTAATAATAAATAATGTGTGATGGCAAGTCATTTCTGACTTACGGCAGCCCTTTTCAGGTAAAGACTACTCAGGAGTGGTTTAACCTTCCCTTCTTCTAGGGTGCCCTAGGACTGTGCAGCTTGCACCAGGCCACACAGGCTGGCTCGTCTTGAGATGCACCATGAAAAACTGAACTTCCAGTCTCTGGCTTTAACTTACAGACCTATCTAGTCAGCTTTTCTTCCTTTTACCATGTTTTTATTGCTAAAGCTATAATCTCATCAGCAAGGAATTGGAATAGCATTCCTTTGCCTAGAACACCAGGTAGCATTTGAACATTTTCCGGAGAAAGGGTCCCCTTTACTAAATCTGGAATCTAGTAACTAAGGTAAATTATTTTTACTGTTTCATTCCAATGAACGAACTCATACTTTCCCATGTATACATTTATTTCCTTTGTATATATTATTACAGATGGTTTAACTACATATCCTTCATATTCTTAAATTACAATATAGATATAAAGTACATAAATAAACATAGGGAAATTACAGATTCCTATAAATTTGCATAGCATTCTTATATATATTTATTCCAATCTAACTGCCACTGAGCTAAATGTGGCTTACTCTCAAGTAAGTGGATAGTATATACAACTTTGATACCCTGTGACAAAATATCATTCTGTAAATTTATTGGGCTGTGCATTGTGGCAGAAAGGGGACTTAAACCAGATTAATCCATGTTTGATTCATCTACATGTCTGGGTATACAAAAGAGTTTAATAGTAACCCTTTTCATAACATGTACTTTCAAATGATGTTTTAATCTGTTACTTCATCCCCAATAAGATTTTACTGTTCTTGTCTGCAAATCAAACTATAACCTAATCATGTGAAATGATTAAATTTTAACATGTCATGATTTTTACAATGTAAAAATAATTAAACTTTCCAGAAATCTGAGGAGGGATTCTCCCTACTCCTGCACTTTGATTTCATGATTCTTTGTGAAACGTATATTAAACACAAAGAACATGCCCTGTTGTGATTAGAAACATATTTTATTTGGATTTAGTTCTCTTTGGATTACATTTTAGAGCCACAAGAAAGATGGTGTTTCCTTCCCATTTACGTTGAGTGATGTTAAGTGAAATTCCAGTGTGTCTCCTTCAGTTAAACAAGGACACATTTGAACATACCTTTCTCCACATCAGGAGTTTGCGCCCTCTTCACTATGTGAAGTAAGCAATATTAATTGTCCTATTTCAACTGTATAGATAGCTCACACATGTGAGAAGTGGAAAAGAACTAATAATAATAATAATAATAATAATAATAATAATAATAATATATTTTTTCAGTTAAGCAAGAAGTATTTCCCAAAAAGAGAAACAGAAGAAGGAAATACTGAGGAATTAGACATGATACTAAAGAATTTCTAAGAAAAACCAACTTATATATGTATATTTCATGAAAATGGATTAGTATTCAAGGATTCAATTTTATACAGTTGCTTACCTTACAAAGAAAGCTAATATTAAACCCCAGTGACCGGGCATTTCTTGAACCAGAGTTCATGTAGTTTCCAATCAGAAGGACAAGTTCCAACAGCTTACTAAAGCTTTCACTCTTTTTCACCTCCTCACAAGCTATTGTTACTGCCATGATGCCAGGCTTGATGTTGTTTATGTGCTCTTCAAAAGTAAGTTTGAAAAGTATGCCATTGAGCCGAGGTCGTAACATTTTCACTGAGCTCATCTGAAACATAAAGACAGAATTTAGGGAACATGTGGAAGAACACTGTTTGTGCACAATGATGCAGAACAAATAAATTCTCCCAATTTATATTCACAAGTGTTTACAAAAATATGCACTTTTTTTACAAAGCATTCCAATTGCTAGACACTTATGTTTAGGCATGGATCTGTATATCTTCCACAGCAAACCAAATCACTACCTAGAAATTTTGATAGCAAGCATGGAATATGGAGACAGGAAAGGCTTTTTAAATTTTATTTCACCTGGCTAATGTACTGACAATCATTCGATTATACCATATTTTCCTATCCTTCCTTCTTCTTAGAAGGATTCCCAAAAATCTCTTTGTTTGTGTAACTTCATTTATCTTGACAGGACTTTTCATTTGGCAAAGGTGTCATTGATCTGCAACACCTTCAATGTTTCAAAAAAGAAGAAGAGAGGACTTCTGGGTTGAAGTTTATAAATTCTGAAATTCACATGTCTAGTTTTGAGCATACTCAGTAGAACTCTGATAGAAAGAACAATGGCTTTGTAAATACAGTGGTGCCTCGCTTAACGGGTGCTCCGTTTAGCAATGAAACCGCATAGCGATGAACTTTTTGCGATTGCAAAAGCGATCACATTGCGATGTTTCTTATGCGGTTTTTTCGCTTTGCAATGATTGGTTCCGTTTCGCTTACCGATCATCGCAAAGCGATGATTTTTTAACAGCTGATCAACAGTTCCAAAATGGCCACTGGGTAAAAAAATGGCCGCCCGCTGTGTTTAGGGACGGATTCCTCGCATAAGAGGCAGCGGAAATGGCCACCGTATGGAGGATCTTCGCTTTAAGGTGAGTTTTAAGCCCACAGGAACGCATTAAACAGGTGACTAGTGTTGCTCAAGCGGAAAGAGCATACAGGACAAAATTAGATGGACCTTTGGTTTGCTGAACTGTCAGGGCACTTTTAGTCTTAGTCCCTAACATAGTCTCCATCTTTTGGGGCAGTGTATCTCAATACATTTCTTTCTGTCCTTAAAGGACAACACAGTTTGAAAAAGACCTTTAAAGGTATATTCTGTAAAGCCTGACTTCCACGCCCTGCCCCATCATGAAGTTCCCAAAGGTTTCCACATTTCAAATAGGATCCCTAGGGAGGCGCAAAACTTTAATGGGGAATAGGACGTAATCAATTCAATTAAATTAAACACTAATGCTGCTGGCTGATGATACCATTACCATTTATGCACCTGTAGTTATGCAAGAGAATTTAGTTAGAGAAATTGTTGGAAAACAGCCATGACAACTGCTTTATGTTTGGGTGAGAACTGGTTAACTGAACTGCTGGATGACTCAGTGGTTTAGGCATCTGGTTTCAAAACCAGATGTTGGAAGATTGATTCCCCACTGTGCCTCCTTCACAGAGGCCGGACTTGATGATTCATAGGCTCCCTTCCAGCTTTGCAGTTATAAAATCATTGAATATGAAAAAAGTTGTCATGTTCTGTGGTTCCCCCTTGCTTGATGTCTGTCAGTAAATAACAGTAGGACAAGAAGGGATCCTGCAGACCATCTCAACTGCTCACATCAGTCATCAACATTAAGGTTGGCCTTTGCCATTCTTTTTTCTGCTGGCAACATGATTATGATTTTGGAGAACAATGATGGTCCATTTCGTGAGGTTCTGAATCAGAGATACAGAAACAAAATATCCCAGGTTTTTGGAAGGACAGAATTATTCAAAGGAAGAACTATGACTGAAAAATACTGTCACAAATACACAACAGTATACAATTTTTTAAAAAAATTTCCCTCATCAGAAAACACCATCTTTCTCTGTTCATAGTACCATATTGTCCCAGCCAACAACACTTCTTGTTTGCTTTTACTGTTTTCTTACTCAGCGCTAGGTGTTCTCACCACTATTATATAGACAAGGCATTTCCAAAAAGAGAGAGAGAACATTTCTATCAATATTTCTATCAATGGGTATTCAATTCCTATTTTGGTTTTCTCTTACTTTTTGCCCTGTGGTTCCCTAGTATAGAACAACTGAGAATAGAAACTCTCAGGCCCCACCTTTGGCAAGGCAAAAACATTCATCCTGTATGTGCACATCAATGTAATAAGTAAATATGTTATTTATATGACCACATGCAAATTACTGTACTGTACATTTTTCCTACATAATCTGTGAACATTCTCCAAAGGTATCCAATTATATATACAGTGGTGCCTCACAAGACGGGCGCCCCGTTTAACAATGAAACCGCATTATGACCATCTTTTTGCGATCACAATTGCAATCTCAAAACGATGGTCTGAATGGGGTTTTTTCGATTTGCGATTATTGGTTCCCTGCTTCGGGAACCGATTCTCGCAAAACAACGACTTTAAAACAGCTGGTTGGCGGTTTCAAAATGGCCACCAGGTAAACAAAATGCCCCCCCGCTGTTTTCTGGGACGGATTGCTTACTGCACGGGCAGCGAAAATGGCCACGCTATGGAGGATCTTCGCTGGACGGTGAGTTTCAAGCCCATTGGAACACATTAAATAGGTTTTAATGCGTTTCTATGGGCTTTTTAATTTCACTTTATGATGTTTTCGTTCTACAGCAATTTCGCTGAACGAATTAACATCATAATGTGAGGCACCACTGTATATATTAAAATAACCAAATAAAAACAGATAAACAGAACAAATAAATGTACTGTCTGGCTCATGAGAGGAGAACTATTTAATTAACACTAGTTTAATCAAATTATATTTGCTTGTGACAACAGAACAGAAGAGAAGAGAGAGTGAGATTTTGAACTAGTTTTGAATTGTTAAGAAACCTGCACAGCTACCCACCATGGATACGTGAAAGTGCAATATATTATGAAATGTACACAAATAATGGAATAAACAGAAGCTATCATTAAAAACCTCTCATGTCAAAAAATCTATACAACCAAACTAAGGCACATAAGCACCTAAATCAGACTGAAAACACTGCCATTTGTCATATGTAATCCTTTGCTGTATATCAGATGACTTACATTTTTTATTTTATGATTCATTACATAAAGTGCTCTGGGACACTGACATAATTGCACATTATGCAAGGCTTTATTTGTATTATGGGGTCACTGTCCATCAAAATGCTACCAAGGGAATTTCATTATCTCAAGTTGATCCTACACTAAATTAAAAAGGGGAGGAGGTGATGACAGCTTTCAAAAGCTGTTACAAGTGTCTTATTTCCCTATGGAGTTTCTGAAATTTTTATGTTGTTGCTTTTTTTCCGACTTATCCAGTTTTTAAACATTGTTTTCTATTCTCACTACCCAAGATAATCAGAACTCCTGAACAGATCCCCCACCTTGAACAGATGGTGGATTGAGACAGTTTCCTCTCTCACGGAATTTATTTTATCAGTCAATATGAAGTAAAAATTAAGTGGAATTAGGTTGTTTAAAGGGGTTCAAAAGTTAAATCCAGAGTGAGAAAATCTAATGTGCAAGGTGTATCCAAGTACAACAAGGATTCAAATGCTTGCTCCTAGCATTACAGATCTGAAATATCCAATCATATATTTTCCTTTTTATTTGCTCTTCTTTAGTGATACCAAAGCCCAGAGAAGTAAAGAAAGACATATAAAACTTCCAGCAATCAAAAATACATTTGCAGTTAGGTACTGAGTGGTATACCTGCACTTGTGCTACTGTGTTTTCTTTTATTGATAATCCTTAAGGATAACAAAACAATATAATTTATATAAAAAAACTATAGGCTGATACTTATACAACCACATACCATCATTTAATTTTACAAACATCAATATCCTTGCTTCTATAAGTATTTCAGTCCTTTCCCACAGTCTATTACACAAAGTGTATGTCCAATTTAAAAGACAGCAAACAGACCAGGTGACTTCCAAGAGTATTATTTTAACTGTTTAATTCAGTTTCTAAAACCAAGAGGGTGTGCCAAATTTTGGTAGAATTGTCTACTTTTATTTCTCCTCTAAGGAGTCTAACCCGTGTGGGTCAGTTTCTCCATTTAATGCTCCTGTCCATATTGTTTCTAGCTGTCTATGGAAAGAAAGTCCCTGAACGTTCTTCCAAGTACAAGCAATTTCATTTCTCACTCATGTGAGGATGTTCATCAATTCTTTATCAGATTAAATCTCATTCCCTCCAATAAATAATAAAACAATAGTAAGGTCCCATTACAGGGGATGTCCTAACAAGAAATGAACTAAAAGGGTGGGAGTTTGAGAACAAGATAATTCTAAAGGCACAACTACAAACAACTCCAACAACAAAAGGTGGGAGACAGCAAAAAAGGCCAGTGTGGCTTCACAGAAAGTTCAAAGAGGACCAGAAAAGAAAAAAGGACACATACAGAAAGTGAAAAAGAAAGCCAGGCTACAAAGGAAGAGTACAGACGAGTAGCAAGGAACTGAAGGGCAAAAGCTGAGAATGAGCTGAGGCTTTTAGAGAAACTAAAAGCAACAAAAAGTATTTTTTTTCAGATGTATATATAGCAAAAGACAGGAAAAAATGCTGGCACAGCTACTCAATGAAGATGGGAAAATGATAACAGAAGACAAAGAAAAGACAGAAATGCTCAATTTGTATTTTAACCCAGTCTTTTCCCAAAGGACAGACTATGACCCTCCAGAGAAATGTGAAACGCAGGTGAAGGGGATAAGATTGCAGCTGTAAACTGATAAAAAAAAAAACAGTTAAGGAATAACTTATTTCCCTGAATGAGGTCAACCCTCCAGGGACAGATGAACTGCATCCAAGAATACTGTCCATTATTTTCTTGAAATCATAGGAAATGGGTGAATTGCAAGACAACTGCAAGAGGGAAAATATTGTCCCTATCTACAAATATAGCAAAAAGGAGGAACCTAGGAACTACAAACCAGTCAGCTGACATCAATCCCAGGGAAAATTCTGGAACAGATTATAAAGTGTTTACGATGCAAACACTTAGAAAACAAAGCAGTAATAACTAAAAGCC